TTTGGCGAAATATTTTATTTTTAGTTGGTATCCAATTTGTTACAAAAACCGGTCTAGACTCGCTGATTATTCGAATAATTAATTAGGAATTAATTAAAACGCTAATTAGTCGAAATGCCGAAATTCGTGCATGCGGCGTTTTTTATTCTTTTTCACCGCATTAAATAGTAAAAATATCAAGGTTGTTTCCACGATTGTGTTCGAAATTTATTGACCGTTTAGCGCTATTTTTACATTTTTTTTATTTACTTACCGAAACTAATAAAAAAATTATTAAATTATTGTTAATTTATGCGAGGAGCTATCATTTATTATGCTACTAATTAAAATGAAATAAATTTCACAGATTTTTCTTCGATAGGCGTGCATATAAATGCGGTGATTCTTTTCTTAAATTATTATACCCACCAGTAAAATTTGCAATTCAAATTTCGAATTAACTAATAAATTGGCAATTAGTTTTAACAGTTTTCGTATAAAAAATATCTTTAGAGGAATTTAAAATTCATATATTAGGTATAGAAATTTTCGATACGCCTCGTGTATAAACTGTTGAGCGTTTCTTTACAAACACACTTTTCACCAGCTGGCCGCGTGAACAGCTCAAATCAAATTATCCAATTAATGTTAAAAAAGAATATTTCCATATCTCGTTTTCTCTAATTAAAAATTAACGCCACGCAAATGGCGTTTTCTTGTTTTTACCCTTTTTTATTTTATCTAGTTTTACACCCGGCGAGAATATTAAATTTCAACAAATTTCGTTATAATTAGACAACGACTAACTTCAACGGAAATTAATTTTTCTTTTTAATTGCGCATACCATTATTAATCGTCCATTTATAATTCTTAAGTTATCGCTATTTAACTGTATTTACTTGTAATACTATTTATGCTAAATTTACTGGAAATATTTTACAATTGTTTTTGTAAAATAAACTCACTTAAAACTACAATTTTCTACAACTACATTTGGGTATATTTTTCTACTTATTTTCTTGTAGAATCATTGTGATTTCACAATAAATTTTTTTCCAGCGCATCTCTTTCGGATTAATTATACAACGATTTTCCCACGTATAAAGTTTAATTCGAGCCGGTGTAATTGCGTTCGTCCTAAACGGCACAAACTGGACTCGGAGCGTCGCGTTATAAAAACGGCAAAAGGCATTTTCCGACTTTGAAGCGGTCAATAATGCGCGCCATTTGCGGTCCCCGGCAATTTTATTTTTCTGCAAAACGCGCAAGCCAGTTCGGCGTGGAAATTAATCCGCTGTCGCATAACTTTCGCATCGAATTATCGCTTTAATTCGTTACGAATGCTGGACGAAATGACGGGGATGCTTATTCCTCAATTATCCCAGTGGCGTGCGCTATCTAGTTGAAAAAAAAAACCCGCTGGAATAAATAAATCATGTTGGTAGTGGGTACTACACCGACCGGTTGTTGCATAATTAAATTAGTTCGTTTCGAATCGATGCGGTCTCGACGTCTCTCTTTTATACGAGAAACAGGAAACGCATCATTAAGGCCGCAGACCGATCTCGATGTTTTATCAAAGCGAGCCTCCATTTTCGAATCAAACGCTTATCCCCACGGCATCCCATTGTCTCCTAATATACCGTATATACTTGCATTTTAATTTAATGGCTTCCAGTTCTTGCTACCTTCGGTGTTAGTTGATATGCCTCCGACGGACAGAGCCGGATTTCCATCAAACCACCACTTCTTATAGACCTACTACCGTTTTTTAGATAGGCTATCTTCTACATTATTCTCCAAAAATAGCTTGTTTGTGTACAATTATAGCTCATCATTATACCGGGTCGGTCACCTGCGATGTATAGACGTGGAAATACCACAAGTGCGAGAAAAAGTGTATAATCTGACCATTGTATAATATTGCTAGAGAGGAAGTAAGATAGAATTATAACTGAAAGTTTAGGACGGTCTCAAAACCATTTACAACTGTTCCAGAACACCTTAGAACTGTTCAGAATCATTTAGAACAATTTTAGAATTGTCTAGCACCATTTGGAACAGTTCAGGACGATGTTAGAACATTTTCAACTGTTCTAGAATACCTTAAAACTATCCAAAATCATTTAGAATATAGTTTTAAAACTAACTGTAGCACCATTTGAAACAGTTCAGAACAATCTAGAACCATGTTAAACTGTTCCAGAACTCATTAGAAATAGCCCAAATTATTTAGAATATTTTTAGACTTTCTAGCACCATTTGAAACACTTCAGGACCATCTTAGGAACCATTTAGAACTCTCCATCAGAAGGATTTAGAACAATTTTATAATATCCTGGCACCATTTGAAGATCTTAAAAAACAACTGTTCCGGAACACCTTAGAACTGTCCAGAATCATTTAGAACTAGCACCATTTGAAAAAGAATCTTAGACCCAGAGGTCTTAAAACCATGTAGAACTGTTCCAGAGCATATTAGAACTGTTCAGAATCATTTAGAATAGTTTTAAAATTAATTAGCACCATTTGAAACAGTTTTGGGACCATCTTAGATCTATTTCGAACTTTAGTATTGAATACAGAAGAGTTGGATACCACCTTGTATAAATTCCAGTATAAATAATCCGAAGCAATTTGGTTAAAAATTGGTACCCGTGCACCTATTAGATAGAACGTCGAATACCGGGAGCTGTTTCTCTTCGATATCCGATCATTCCGAATGCATTAATTAACACATCGAAATTTGAATAAAATGCCCGTTATCGGTAAGTGATGCCCGTCATTCTCGATTTCTTTTTTCGTTTTTTTTTATTTATTTCGTCAGTCGATCGTTTTTACAACTTCTTTCGGCGGAGACAAGAAGAAGAAGAAGAAGAGTCGAGTGTATTTGTCGGGGCTTTATTGCCCGTCGTAAAGGAGATACCGGAGTTTATGTTTAAATATTTTACTAATTTATACATTGGATTTACGCGCGGTGATGTGTTTATTTTGAGGCAAATTTCAGCGAGAGAACGTTCTGTAATTTAATAGAAATTATAGGGATATTATATAAAATCCGATTTGCCTTGAACCATCAACATTTCGAAAATTAACATCGCTTGTCAGCTCATTGAATGTCAGTTTCCAGCGAGCCTTTCCATTGGCAGGATATTGCAATATGAGGGTAATTAACTGTCAATGGTGCGCGCATTTCAAACATTCCGTATATCAATTCTCCTACTGTACACTCACATAAATAAATATAAATTTTATCCCACTTTGTCAGGTCTATTAAACCGTGTAGGCCCCGTTGAAATTTCACCGATTTACGAGGGGCGTTCGGAAAACGTGCGGAATTCATTCTACGAGGAGCGTTCGAAAAAATAAAACGTCTTATTAATATTTAACGATCCCGGTAGGCCATTAGGTATTATTATACGAGCAGTAACGCGATCTCTAAAGGAACTCGTCGTGGTTTTTCTCTCGAATTTCCCATATTAACCGTTAAAAGCGCATTTATCAAGCCTGCTTATGAAAGACACAATTAAATTCCGAACAGGAAGATATAACTAAAAATGATAATTGTTGTCTGTCAGTATATTAAAAGTGTGTGTTTCTAGCCAATTATGATAATACAGGTGACATTTTTACCGACTGTTTTACGGTATGCGGCTAATTGGCTACGGAGCTGCCGTCGTTTTTTATATAATATATAAATCTCACGTTAGAATGCGCGCCGATTTCGATCTCTCCGTAAATAATTACCAATTAGATAAAGGAGGTAAGTAATTCGAAAATTTTAGGCTCACATACTTTGTTTGCGTTGTACACGGATAAGCGGGACTTTAAGATGCGTTCGATGATACATAACCAACAACTGTCGAAATTGACATTTAGTATGACAGATGTTTAATAGAGGTGGGAATCGTTTTTTTGGTATAGAGGTGCAGTAACGACTGTTACAAAATAAGTGTTATTTTTATAATTAAGCGGATATTTAATGATGTATTTTTTTGTCAACAAACATGGAGAATCGAGTGTAGAGTCCCGTCCGCTAGGAAAGAGCGCCGTTAATTTAGCGAAATATAAAACGTCGGGCATCGGTCACGGTCGATTCCCTTTTAGAGGAGTTTATACGTCTTTTCGAAATGAACAATTTATCGGTTGTAAATTTGTATTAGGCTTTAATGGTTTCGACTTCAATTACGGGGACTTTCGTCACCTTTTTTTTTTCTCTCCGCTTTCGCCCGACAAAGTCATTACTCGGCGCTTTTGATCGTCACCGTCCCGGCGTTAATGTCTTCATTCGGCGCTTCTCCGTTTGTTTTTCGAATCTAATCGCGTGAATTACGAAGCAATCGATTCGTTTCGCAACGCGACCTGTACGGCTAAAATCGGCGTTTTTTAATAATTGAGTTGTAAATGAACTTTGTAAGAGCAAATTAATTATAATGGCTGTGAAAGATGTAAGTGAGTTTGTGCCTTTTAACGATTTCAAGAATGCTGATAGCTATATTTTTTTTTATTGAGAAACTTCCATCGATACGTCAGGTGTTTGATCTTTATCGTGCAGAGCTCGTTTGTCAATATATAAATAGTTGTAATAATTCTGTCGTCGACTAAGGTCAAAAATGTAAACTATACTTTCTATATTTGTTGGTATACATTTTTTTTGTAGCGTGATAGGATGTAGGTAGATGATTAGCTAATTTAAGGGTTAGGTTGTTATTAAATTTCTCCGGTGATTCATTCGAATAAATTTCAGCGGATTGATCGATTTGATCGGGTACAAATTATTCGAAACAGGTGCGTTGACAGCGACCGGCAATATATCTTGCTAATTATTACCTTATTTTATAATAACTTCGTTATTTCTTTTTATAATTGGCCATGAGAATAAATGTATCTTATTAAAAAAAACAGAAGTAGGTAATTCAATTTGGAGTCAGGTGGTGATCCCTTATATGGACTTGTGAAAAATCGCTCTGTCGCTCTAATTATCGCTCGTATAATTGACGCATTTTTCGTTTATTTCCAGTCGATTCCAACGGGGAACCACCAAAGATAAAATGTAACTTAAGGAAGCACAAACCAAATAGGAAACCGAGGACCCCTTTCACCACGCAGCAGCTGCTCGCTTTGGAAAAGAAATTCCGCGACAAGCAGTATCTCAGCATAGCGGAAAGGGCCGAATTTTCCAGCTCGTTAAGGCTAACAGAAACACAAGTAAGTATTTAATAAATTCCTTACAAATAAACCTCCAATAATCACATCAAAGAACACACTAATTGGTGGAATTCAAATAGCTAAATTTTGTTCCACTTCAACAAAATTTGTGTAAAACTGGGGCATTTTTAACCATCCGAATTTTACCCCAATATCGAATTTACTTTTACATGACCGATATCGTTTGATTCCAGGTGAAAATCTGGTTCCAAAACCGCCGAGCCAAGGCGAAACGACTCCAAGAAGCCGAGCTGGAAAAATTAAAAATGGCCTCGCTGTCTCGCCACCCCCATCCCCTGTACCCGCATCCAGCCCTGCAGGGATACTTCGCGCCCGGGACGCACCCCCTGGCGTCGCTACTGGGCGCCAGGCCGCCGATGGGCCCCCTCGGGCTCATGCCCCAACATCCGCCTCCACATATGGCCTCGCCGCAGGAGAACATCAGATCGCCCAGTCCGCATATGAATTAAGAAATGCCGAATTGTGGGGTAACTGTGCTGTGTTCGCGGTGATTTTTCGACGTATTTTTGGAGTGCTCTCTCTAAGTAAAGCCAGTGCGTTCGAGTGGATTCGAGTAAATCGATTTCTCTATTGATTTGATACATTGTGTAAATGTATTTAGGAGTGTTGTTTAACAGGAAGATTATACGTTTAATGAGCCCATCACTATCGATGTCAATTTAGTTTTTATGACGGTGTAAAGATCAGAATATACTGTTACATTATTGATAAAATTTAATTTTATGGAAACGTTTATTAGACCATTATCAAGAAACTACAATTTATTACAAAATTGATAATTAACACTTTTGCGATTTAGGACGAGAATTGGTTTTTAATGTCGATTTTACGAGAAATTCTCTAGTCATCAATAACGCTTATGATACGATGTATAATTTTCGTTATCCCATTTGGCAAATAATTTAATTTTTAATTACTTGACACATGTATTTATCACTTTTGATTGGATAATTAATTAGAACAGAGGTCAGTACACAATCGAAACACAACAACCGATGCTGTCATAAGCGTTTCGAGAGAGAATTATCATTTTTTTTATTCGAAATCTCGCTAATTAGCTCTCGAAATCGTACTTAATTATAGGAACGGGATCGTTAATGCGTATCGTATTACAAAATTAATTGCTGTAATAAATGTGTTTGTTTTCTTTTAATTTTTGAAACAAATTAATTTCCTTTATCGAAAAAGTAATTCAATAAATTACGCACCCCGGGGTTATCGGCGGCTAAAATTGAGGTCAAACGATCAACATGATTCAGGAGAAATGATTTTCGTTTCGACTTATCTCCGAGATTACGAGCCCGAAATCGATTTACTCGAATCGCTTTAACATTGTAAATATTTGTGTAAAATATACTTGTGTATATACGAATGTAAATGTGTAAATTATTTGGATGTAATTTTAATTATGTATAAAGAGAACTGTAAACAAAAAAAATTGTAGCAATCTTTTAGCATAGAAGCGATAGTGATTGTGTCACTTTGGTTTTATTGATAAGTATTAACGGTTTAAAAATAAAAGAGATTCAATATGGACTGGTGTTTTATTTTGCGCGTAAATAAATCCAACAAAACGCCACACCATTTGCAACACTATTATATTAATAAACGAGTACAAAACACTTCCAATAACTCCTAACCGTAAAGTATCCTTACAGCTCTTAAACTCCCCGTTAATTTCATTTATTTTCGTCCTAAATTACGAGCGAATAAATCACGGTAGTATCTGTTAAATCTGATGTTGGGAAACGTCGGTAGAGACCGAAGAAAAAAAAATAAAGCAAAGGAAACTGCTCATATAATTTAAAACACGCGGCCGATGATATTTTCGGAATAGGCAAATTAACGGCAATAAAAGTTAGTGGAATCTTGTCTCGGCTTAATTAAGGGGAACATTTTCAGTCACGGCTACGCGGAAAAGTCGAGGAACGATTTTTTTCATCAAGATTTCGCCTCTCGCAATTTACTGATAAATTAGTTGAAATAAACAATTCTGACGTTTGAAATTTATTATTCGCATCGCGACAGAAATCAATTCAAAATGCATCACAAAGGTAGCAGGAATCTGGTTTTTCTTTCATCTTTATTCCCAATTTAGTGCAACATAAAGTATTAAACATATGCAGGGGGTAAGTGCAAATTTGTATGCTCATCAGAAAGAGTGAAAATTTGCATTTACCATGCAGTATATCAGAAAACTAGATTTAAAACGTGTCAAAAATAGCGCAAATCGGCTCGATTTTGCAAATGAAACTTTTCCGCGTCAGAACGCCCACATGGAAAATTCGATTAAAACCAGGAAAACATAACTCGTCGTAAAAAATACCCGCCGGGGTTAATCAGCGCAGAAGAGCACAGCAACGTTTTAATTCATCCCGTGAATATAACAATTAAACAGCGAACGATTACAGAGATTAGGGAAATCTGAAAGCCGGCTCGACAATAATTTTCGCTCGACGCAGGAGCGTATTATCGCAATTATAATCCATTCGAACGTAATTAGAGAGTACGTTGCCGTTAATTAACGGTTAATTACTATAATGCGATGAAGTAAAATTCGCGATAAAATCCTATCGACTGCGCCAATTTTGGTACTTACTAAACATTCAATTAAAATACTTCCCAAACGCTACATTCAATATATTATTATATTTATATAGGGATATTAGTGTTCCTAAAGGATTTACAGTTCATCAATGTATATTCCCCGACGTAATATACGTTAATAGAGCCGGCTCTGTGGCCATTTTACTAAACGCAATGAGAATGGCAATTGTGTAGGGGCCCCGGTCTGTGTAACAGTTTAATTTGCACATTAGCTCCCGACAGAGAAAGGCTGAATTAATTAACGCCATTATCGCCTATCATCTGTTTTAATTGCCTCGCGAGGGCGCCATGTTGTTTTTACTAGAAATTAAAATGGCCGACCCCTAACAATGGTGTTGTCATTATATAGAGCCATAATCAGAATACAGAAATGGTAAATTGCTAGGAAGATAAAGAGGACGGTTCACACTGCAGCAATTTTCTACCAGAATGTAAGCAGTTTGAATAGGAAAATTAGTTTTTTAGTTTCTAGTGGATTTTTGTAGTGAATTGGTTCCAGTTAAATTAATTAGTAGTATCTATTTCTTTGTTATCATATTTGACAATGATAAATGTCATTATTGTTAAAGTACCTGTCAAACGACAGATGTCAACTGTCATTTATATTGAAGAATATGTAGAAGGTGTATAGAAGGATTTTCCCCGATGTGAATCGGGCTCTATTTCGCAGCGAGTGGAGATAGCCCGCGAAAATGAAGTAATTAAAACTATAAAGGCCAGGTTAATTGTTTTCCCTACCATCGCGTAAATTAAAACAAGCCAATTATGGTTCGCCTTTGTCGCGCTTATTGCCTCGTAGCGCCGTCTCTCTTTCGCCCGTCCGCCGGCCGGCGGCCCTCCGGTTTTTGCGCCCGTTTTGCGGAAAAATTCGCCGTTTATATCGCCCAATTATTCCCGCATTTATAAATTCGCCGTCGTCGCTTAATTAATTTTTTTAATTAATCGCGTCGCCGAATAAAAAACCCGGGGAAGTCGCGGAAAAAGTACGCCAGTAGAGAGTTGAAGATTTATGAAGATGTTAAAATAATAAAGCTTTTTACCTGCGGGATCGAATTAGGCAGGACAAATGACCGCGGCCGGTAAATGAATTGAATCGATGCAGGCGAGTGTATGAATCATAAATCAAAATAAATCAAAATTAATTCACATTAGAATACGCGAGGCAATGCGGTTGAGTGTTAAGTCGAAAATAATAGGTTATCAAGTCGACCAGATTGAGAGTCAGCTGTCCGCGGGGGTTCGGCATGAAATGGGCCCGTAATTGGACCCCTGCGGAGCGCCCGGGACCCCTCGTTAGAACCCGCAGCCGGATCGGGGGAGCCGGATTTTTAATGCCTTCATTCTCGGAACCCGATTTCTTGTAATATTATTTTCCTTCCCGAAAGGGGTCCTCGTAAATTAACAATTATATACAAAGGCGAGTGTTGATTAATTTTGATTCGTCGATTATGAAGATAGCGGCTCGGAATTTGTAGCAACGAATAAAAACTGATTTTTATGGGGTCGTTAATTATCGTTGTAAAGCATCAGCGATCAAAATATGTACAAAATTTTGTTTCGGAACCCTCATAAATCACTTAAAGCCTAATTTAAAAGAAACCACAATGTAAAGCACAAGTTTATAGCCAAATTAATTTATTATTTCTTTAGATTTTTTTAGTACCCAAAACAATAATGCCCCAGTTGCACCAAAGCATCCTAGGATGAATTCCTATCCGAGTTTCGTCTGCAAAAAAAACATCCTTACAATTATTTAAATATAAGCAAAATTTAATTAAGAATTTCTAGGATACAGGTTACAGGAGATGTTTAAAACTACAACTTTTTTTCTTCTTCTGATATTTTCCACTGGCCCCAACAACTATCAGGTTATTTTGACACTTAAAATGATAATCATCTCCTTCTTTTGAAGTTTTTCAACAATATTTCTACGTTGCCAAGCAACGTAATTAAAGTAGGTATACAAAATGTTTCACACACGCTGCCCTTTACGCCCTTCCCGAATCGAATTAAACGCTCAACGCCGCGAAACAAATAGGTCGGGCAAACGGAGAAGTCTCAATCATTGGATGTAACATTAACTGCATTAGAGCATCCATCCGGGTGTGCAAGTTTTAAATGAAAAGGCGGACGTTATGATACGGGCGAGATAACGCCTCACAGCAGCGGCGTAGAGGTAATTAACACTTAATTGTGCAACAATTTCATTCTATTAGATCGTTGAACGCACCTCCAGTAACTTGCTACAGCGATAATTTATCTTGTTTCTTTAATATCGGCGTATAAATTTCCTCTTAAATAGTTTTTCTTAAAGCGTTTATTGATAAGATTATAGTAGCATTATGTAAAAACCCTCGACGGAACGCTAACGAACCGCTCTAGCTGATAAAAGGCAATAGCAACCCCTCGCTTATCCAGAAGGGGGACGGATCCATGTTTAGATCGCACATTTAGATCAATTTTGTTTGTTGTAGAGTGAACAATCGACGCATTATAATCCTCGCTTTATACTTTTGACTGACGCACTGATAAGAATTTATTTTTCTTTGTGCGGATCATCGACGAACGATAGATTCGGGATTTGTCCCGTTGACAATGCAGCCAATTAAATTTTATCTCGCTCTTTACAGGATTGTAATGCTTTTTGTAATTTGTAAAATTCGATAAGAGCCGAATGTGGGATTAAAAAAATATACGAATGTTAGGGTTGGTTATTAGGAGATTTGAATTTCCATCAAAAGACCTGTACGATTTTTTGTTGTATTTTTTTGTATTACTGCGCATAATTAATTTAATTATGGAGTTTAAAGAAAATAGGTTATAGGGGGCAGGCTATTGTTTATGTTTACACATACAAAGGGAGAAATTTATGGCTACTTTGGTCGTATTTATGGGGAATCGGTTATTTAAATTCAGTTAGCTACTGTGCTCGTTATCTTCCATTCGGACAGTTAATTAAAATACTTATCGGAATTCTAATCGATGTCATAACACTAGAAATTTCTAATATAATCCCGTCCGGTCCGCGACGTTTTTATCACCCATTATTTTAATTAGTTATAAAAACTAATGCGAGTAATTTATAATTTGGTGTTGATTTCTAGGAAGCCCTCGGCCGTAAAGCGGGCATAAATTTCACTAAAAGCCCGGTCTAATTGATAACGGTCCGTTCGGGAAAAAATAATTTCTGATTTTTATGGTGGCCTCCGACTCGCCGGGTTTTCAGATACCATCTAGGAAATTCGGAATGGCCCGAAACATAATCAGTTCGAATTCAAACGGTCGACTTAAATTACGCAACAAGATTTTTTCGATTCGATAAGCTTCCATATTCGGTGGGTATTTCGGGTAAATTAAAAGTGAAAAAAATAAAGGCTACCACGAACAGCGAGTGTATAAAAGCGGCTAATAGAAAACAGTACGTGGCAATTGCTCGCAAGACCTTGCTGTGTCCCCATGGTGCTCCTAACGACCGCAAAACTAATATACCAATTACGTACTATACACTACTAAAAATCGCGAGTTTCAAGCGAATTTTCCAACGTAATACCCCCCTAAAATTTCCGCAGTGTAGTTGCACATTTTTCCCCACACCGTTATTCCACCAGTAAAGCGTTATTGCTTTCCCAGCTCGAACCTCGAATTACTATTAACATTAACACAATCTGCTGGTGTCGGTGATTGAATTCGAAAAATTTGTAATAGTTTCGAAAATTGTTGGGAGCGGAGTTAATGCACCAATTCGAAGTGTTGTTGACCCAAAACGAGGCATTAACACAATCACAATGGAGATAATGCAGTCGTTAAAGATGCGGTGTGTAAGGAAACGCTCCCATTAGGAATTTGTTTAACAGATAATTTTTTATTGGGATGATGCGCCATTAAACGCCGT